TCATATATTACACTAATTGAGTTTTGTGGGCAAGATCGAATGCTGTTATCTCATAAAAAACATACCTGCATTTGTGTTTTGTGTCATTCACACGTTGTATAATCCTGCATTATTAGGATGTCTGCATTTCCAAAGCTCAAAATGTTCTGTTCAACCTTGTGAGGTCAAGTTAAGTTAAGTTACCTTTTACATTTTGCTCAGTAAAGATTGGAAATTCCAGGGCTAAAATTATCCAAATTATTTTAGTGAAGGTGTCTGGAGTTTAAAAACACAGTGGAGCACTTCCTATATTGACATCAGAAGGTGGAACAAAGTGTTTTCTTTCAGGGTTTGTGTGTTAAACATGTCGGATGAAACAAAACACAACTTCAGGTCTGTTTTTGATGAGGAAACAACATTAAACGTAGATCAGAAAATAGCTCAATTTAATATAAGGCTAATTAGTAATAGTAGTATTTTCTTCATAAAGTGGAAGCTTCAAAGTTAGTTGATTTTTGTGTTTAAGCAGAGCGACGGTAAACAGTGTTATAACAAATTAGTTATATTAGTAATTTTAAGATACCACAGAAACATAATATCAATAGATCATGAACATATTTTATTATGATATACAGTAGGTGGACAGAAATGCATCTAACTATTTTCAAACACTTTATATTTGTGAATAAGCAAGTTGGGGTATAGACCGTTGTGTTTCAAGTGTCAGGATTTCAAACTAGTCTTGTGAGGGAATTTTCCTGGTGTTGTAATTTTGTTTATGGCCTTATGACTCTTGCTCATCACATGACTAAAGGTTTCTCTCTGCAATTAGGCTGTCATCATTTAGGGCTTCAACATCCTCAAAGTCAACTCAAAACAGAGAATACTACCTTTGCTGTCATATTCTAACTTAATAAGGCAAATTTAAAGAGAGAAACTCGTCAAATCTAGTTCAAATTCTGAAGAAGATCCCCCTTTGTTTGTTAATTTGTATCTAATATGTCAACAAAATTTAAAGCTCTCTGTTCATTTTGCAGATGTATGTTTTTTTTTACACGTACAATTCAGTATTTTTACAACTGATGAAATACTTATAAGCAATATTTTTCTTACATTTGTGTTAATAAACTAAAGGAGTTACAATTTTATATCTTGAAACGGTTATTTTTTTTCTTTTGCACCTGCAGTGTCTCGCCTTAAAAACATTACAAAGAGTGAACGAATGTTTTTATTGGCAATTACTCTTCTCGCCCAACAACACCCACCTAATATTTGTGCATTCATCCAGCAAGAGGGTGTTGCATTGGTACACAGACAAAGATTTAAATCATAACACAGGGCTAGTCCAGCTTTCATTGTGGTTCGATTGCATATTTTCTGACCTAATTCAGTCCTTACAGTTTGAGAGCACGCCTCTTTTTGAAACAAGAGGCGCAGAGCCAAAACTAAGTCCTGAACTGAACAATGCACATCTGGACTGTTGTTCGTGATGGTTATCGGCAAGAAGATGTAATCTAGGAATTCCAATCAGTCTGAACAAATAAAAGAAAATAGTTTGGTTTATAATTATGAACTTGCTGTATCTATTCAGACAAATATCTTGGCACGGACTTGAGGCATGTGACTTGAGAAGCACTTTTAATCTGAATTCGTTCTATTCTGACTGTAATGATTCACTCTAAGATCTTGTCAAGACATTTAAAAAGGAAAAATTTACATCTCTACAACTCTTATATACTCTATAAATACTCATATATAAATATACTATGACTTTATAAGTATAAGTATCTTAAAAGTCATATAAACTGCAAAAGTCTAAGCTATACTTTGGTTTAAAGACTTGAAATGACTTGAAGCTCAAAGCAGAAGACTTGGACTTGACTTGGACTTATGGGCCAGTGACTCAAGACTCGACTTGGACTTGCTTGGATTTAACTTGGGACTTGACTCGGACTTGTGGTCAAAGACTTGAGACTTACTTGAGACAGGCAAAAGGACGACTTGGTCCCACCTCTGACTGGTCCCAGCTAAATTAGAAAATTACTGTTAATGTACAAAGTTTTGCCATTATCTCCTTCTCAAAATGTGTAGCGTAGTGTAACATAAACATTTATTGGGAAATAACAGTTCAATTCTCGTAATATAATATGTTTAAAATAGAGGTCCTATGATTTGTTATCAAAGTGCATTTTTATTCATCCTATTAGAAACTATAGCTAGTACAAAGCTGTCTGGTTTATACTCTGTAATCTACTATAGCCTCTAAAATGACACTTTAATATATATTTTTTATAATCTCAACTCTCAACTGTATTTCATATTAATAAGTATAAATTGTAAATGTAAAATAAAAATTGTGCAGACCAACAATGTAAGTTCAAGTTCAAATGTATTTACATTTACATAAACACTTTAATTCGCCTTAATGAAACCTAAACAAAGACTTTATTCATAAAAACTGCACTATGTAACTTTTCGATTAAGGGTCCATCGCCTGCTTGTTTCTATGGATACGCTGGATATTGCTCTGCTTGGAATGTTCCACAGTATGACATTAAACAGCTCTGTGTTACATTTATTCAATTACAGGTGGTTTTATAGCTCAAAAATACCTTAAAAAACAGACATACTGACTGTGAGCGGGGTCGCCTCTCCACAGATCCGACCTGTAACTTGGTCTGGTTAAAGATGTAATGCCGCACTGTGAAACATTCCAGACAAAGCAATAACAATAACACTCTATGAAGAAAAGTATTTGACAGATCCTCCACCAGAAAAGTTACACAATGCACCTTTAACTTAACGATCTTAACCCCTAACCTCTTAATTAAGTAGTTATAAGTCTGAATCATTTCCTCGTTATGTAAAGAGTTATGTTATGTGTTCATGCTTTATTAAAATGTTAGGAGTTAATTATCTTAACTCCTAACCCCTTAATTACGGTAAATAGTTATATGTCTGAATAATTTTCTTGTTATGTAAAGTCTTGTTCATGATTTATTAATGCTAATTAAAGTGTAGTATTCATAAAGTGGTACCATAATATGTCTAACACACATGCTGATACATTTGAAATATATTTTAGTTAATACTTTTACTTTCTCATTCACAGAAGCCGTTAAGTGACGAGGACTTTCATCTTCTGGCACGGATCTTGTCGGTCGGGTTGGTGGACGCTGATCCGAACTATCTCCACCATCTCAAAGGCTACAGGGATCTGCGAGGGGCCTGATTCTTCAAAGCTACAAAACTTTATTTACAACTTCTCTGTTTGAGTTGTATGTGACAGAAATTCCCTCCTGATTTAACTGGAGATATAAAAACATGCCACAGTGAGCGATGGTGTCGGTCAAAGCATCACAGGCATTCAAGTCCATGACGCACCGATGAGGGAGATAAAATGCTTAAAACAACTTGACCTCTTCGGGAAGGCAATATCAGTGGACATTACTACTACTTCTACTACTACTACTACTAGACATTCATTACCACTTGAATTAAGTATTGTACAGTTCACTTTAGTCCTTGGTACAGCTTGCATCGCCTTGTTGTGTTCACAGATCTGCTATTTTCTTTTTGTCGTCATAGGAATATTGAGAATGTAGTCTTATGAAAGATTATCTCAACTTTGCTGTCATCTGTTCCATTTGTTTACCTAGAAAAAAGAAAAATAAGAAAAATATAATTGTCTAATAGAAAGTTTTACAGGTAAATTTGCACTGAACAAGCAAAACATCGATCTATGTCAGTCAATTCTGGCATTTTTAAATGGTGCATTTTTACATTTTGAGTATCCCTTCACAGTTTCCTTGCTTCTTTAAGGACATTTTATTATTGTGAATTATTGTGCCTGATTTGTGTGTTGCTGAGTTCATTTGCAGTCAACTTTTAACAGTCACTACTAGGGATGTAACGATATCCAAATCTCTCGGTACGATATTTATTGCGATATTTTGGAGAGGCTGATATAATTGCAGATGCTATTTTGCTTTTAAAATACCTTGACAAGATTTTATTGTGAATTATCTCTGTCATAATGCCAAGAATTCAAGTCAAAAACATATATCTTCATGTGGTCTGCACTGAAATGTATCATGGGATATGTAGTTCCCTATGTTCATAAGCCGTTGCTTCTATAAAAGCATGCATTTAAGCAAAGAATCTTGTGATATGATATATTGTGACAGCCCATGATGTTATAGTGAGACTTCTGACAATACAAAATCACAATATTTCGGTTATTGTTACATCCCTAATCACTACCTTCCAAAAAATGTAATGACTTAAATGACCACAAATGCACGAATCTTACCCCATAGTTTCTTATTCAGTTTCTCTCCAACCAGAAAAAGTACTGTCACCACGATCATGTTGAAGACGAAAAACCCCACCAGTCCAACACCGCTGAAGTATTTGAGGAGGGGGTAGACCCAGACCCCAGCTGATAAGTATACCCAAATAATCCTGTTAAACCAGAACAAAAGAGGGTGAATCGTAACTCAGCAACTGCCTTTCTATCTATGTATCAGAGCATCTTGTACTCAACAGGAGCAGGTTTTTCTTGTGCAAAGTGCCACTGCTGCAGACTATGTATTGTGCAAATTTATGTGCAAAACAATGTGCAAAAATAAACATGATATGGACAAGTGTCATTGTTTGAGTGTTGTGCAATGAAGGAAATGAACTACGACTTGGGTAATAGTGAATAAATACGTAAACAAACTATGGACAATAATGAAATGAAAAAGGGACATTTTATAGGGAGGTTTGATTAACTGTAACCAAGGTTGGGTATCATTAAGAAGTTGCCAATACAATACATACTCGATACATAGACCACGATACGATACATATCTTGACACAGTGAGTTTACGATTTGATACGATTTGATACGATTTAATACGATATATTTCAAATTAATTCAATACGATTCAATAAAAAATAATTGTTGAATCGTGGTTCTGACACTAAAAGCCTTTGTTAAACCACTTCTTGTGCAAAGTTCACATGAAACGCACCCATTTTAATCATCAAAACAGTGAAAATGTCAAATGTGTTGCATAAATGAGTTTCCTTCCTCTAAACAAACAACAAAACTGTAGCTGTAACAAAATAATTTAGTAAAATATACCAAAAAAAAAATACTCTTGGCGATATATCGATACAGCAGCCAACAAAATCGATACTGTATCACCCCATTAAACAATACGATATATCGGTATTTCAATATTTTTGCACACCCCTAACTGTAACTAAATAAAAATATATATCTTTTAAACTCCCAAGGTCCCATTCTTATAATAAATGTATTTCATTATATTTCTGTGTTAAAGGGCCCATATTACACTATTTTCATCTCTATGTTATGTTTCCTCATCAAAAAATAAACCTAGAGATGTGTTTTGTTACATTCATACATGTTTAACACATAAACTCTATAAACTCTATATTTAGGCATATTTAGGTTCTTCTCTCACACAGAAAACACTCTTGCAATGTCATGTGGTAATACAAGGAGTGCTCCTGTGTGTTTTCACTAGAATCATTTTGATAATGTCAGCTCTGGAATTGCCAATCTCTACTTCAACAAAAAGTGAAAGGTACACTACTGGTCAAAAAGTTTTAGAACACCACAGTTTTTCCAGTTTTTTTTTTACTGTTTACTGTTGACCAAAATGTATTCTAACTTTTGATTCCTGAAAGTGTCCACCTTTGGCAGATATAACAGCTGAACACACTCGTGGCTCATTCTTTTTACAATAGAAATCAAATATTCTTCAGAAAGTTCTTTCCAAGTCTGTTGCAGAAGTTCCCATAAATGTGTGGCACTTGTAGATTGCTTCACTCTTCTGTCCAGTTCATCCCAAACCAGCTCGATGGGGTTTAAGTCTGGACACTGTGCTGGACACTTCATGTTTTCAAGTTCACCATCTTGTTCTTTTTTCCTGAGTTAGTTTTGGCAGAGCTTGGACTTGTGTTTTGTTATCTTTTATTATTTTTTTGGTACCATTTCTAGCTCTTCATTGGACTTGCAGGACTTGAATTGCAATAAATAACTGGAAAAAATAGGGTGTTCTAAAACTTTTGTTCAGTAGTGTAGCTGTTATCTGGGTAAAAAAAATACAGCTTCATGACATCACAAGGTGGAATAAAGCATTTTGATCTTTGGAGATGTAGACAGACTAATAATCCAGGATTATGAAAATATGTGTGAATGAAATGAAACCAAACACAAAACACAACAGCATGTATGTTTGTGATGAGGTAACAACATTCTAACATGGCTTAAAACTCACAAGAGTCCATTTTGCGTAATATGGGACCTTTAAGAGCTCTATACACATGTAATGAAGTGAAGTGCATGCTATTTTTGATTTAGTGTTCAATGAAGTATAATCTCCTTACAGCACTTTTCCAGTGACAGCTGTATATATCTCTAAAATTATTGCATAATATTAGTTTTACAAAGCATGCTGAGCTGGAATTTCAAGGACATTCTTGCACTTCAGTGTTCTGAGTAAAATATGTGAAATATCTGTATAGTTATCTGTACAGTTATGAAACAAGGGGTTGTGATTCAAAAAAGTTCATGCATTTTAAGATCGTGCAGGATCTTACTCTACACAGCAGCTGGTTCCCTCTTCGTATTCAAAAGTAGTATGTAGGATTTTTTTGCACCCCATGTAGCAATTGTATGTCAAATGCAAAATTACACTGTAAAGAATTATTATTATGCTACTGCTTGGTATCAAATTCTGAACACGTTGTAAAAATTGGTCTTTTTGTTATAGTCTCCTTGCTCTGTAGCTTCACTGTGAGATTAAAGAACCTGTACATGATTGTTTCCCATGTAGGCTATTTGAGCAATATTATATACAGCAGGTATTGAGGTGAAATACAGAGGCAGCACTACCATTACCAAAAGTAGGTGGCTGCCTAGGGCCCCCAAACCTGGAGGGGCCCCGAACCAATCACCCTCAGTGCCACTAAAGACAGAGGCCTCAGAGCGATTTAATTTTCTCTCAATATTATATTAAATGAGAGTAATTTACATTTATCAGCCATCTGAGTGTGCTATGCATTTTTTCTTTTTGCACTTTTATTTTACTGTTCCTTGGATTTGCACCACTTTCTGTTTCATTTGAGCAGTTTACTTTTAAACAATAATAAGAAAAATTATAATCATCATATGTAATGGATGTAAACAAAAATGTAATTGTACTGGCAAAAAAATACAACTACTTCCAGTTCTGGTTATCTAGTAGGCTACCTAACTAATAAGACAAGTTTCCAATCCACTGTAATTCACAAAATAGAGATGTGCATGTCTCAAGAACAATGGGGGAAAACAGACAGTAAATATATTCAAAACTAAACAAAAAAATGGTGCATTATAGTGGCGGCTCCAAACTCAAGATCACTTAGGACCCCCCAATTGCTAACTCACCCACTGGTCAAAGGTCAAATATGTCTGCTGTGTACTGTCTGCATCTTATTCAGGAGTCTCCAACCTGTAGCTCTGGAGTAGGGGAGTAGCTCACCAAGGGATTTTTGAATTATATGTATTGTGCTGAATAACTAAAACCTGATCAAGTATACCATTGTACATGTATCATTTTGATGCCTAACCTTGTACACTAATATATGGATAAAGGTTTATGTTCTATAGGTATCTAACATAGGGTGACCAGATTTTCAAACTCAAAAACTGGTTTGAGGTGGTTGGTAATAATAAAATTGTGAAACAAGTGCATAATTAATGAAAACTTTTCTGAACTCGGCCCATTCATGACAAGTCACATTTTCTTTGTGTTTTGGTCATTTTTAAGCAGCTTTTCTGTATTTTACCAAAAAAAGACAATTTATGCGTCTCTTTACTGTTGGCAAGTATGAGATTGGTCAAAAATAGGGACACTGGGGACATTTCTTGTATAAAACTGGAAAAAAATGTCTGGTTTTGTATAAATCTGCTAAGACAAGGGACACGGCACAAAACTGGGGCTGTCCTGGGTAAATAGGGACGTCTGGTCACTCTAATCTAACTGTACTTCATCTAAGTTTTGTTGTCACTCTGTTATATACAAAATTTATTGTTTTATTGCTAAAACTAGTAGCTCTCTGACATTTTAGTTTTGTAAAGGTAGCCCACTGGAGACCCCTGGTTGGAGACCCCTGATCTAACTATAGCATTTTATTGTTTAGTAATCAGGAAATGTGTGCTTAGCGTGCAAGTTGGGCTGTAGGGTCATGGTTAAGGTCAGGGCCAGGCTGAGGGTGGAGATGATTATGGACAAAAGGGCACGTACTGTATGTCCTCTAACTTGACTGTCATTACAAAACTCCACTCTGGTCACTGAATATTGTGAAAAGCTCTTTGAAACTCATCACAGTGAATAATTAAGATGCTCAGAATCTATGAGGTAAGTGAGGAATAACTTTAGACCACTACAAATGAACTATTTTAAAATGAACTATTTCAGTTTGTCACGGTTTTCGACAGTAAACAGCACCTTTAATTAGGAGGAGTGCTGTTTCAGGGAAAGGTTTGCCAGTCCTACACACCCTGATCATTATTAGCTGAATAATAGATCATATTATTTTCTTTTAAATTGGTTTGACTCAGCACTTACCAGGACAAATAAGACACACCCACTAGGCTCAGGGCGGCAACAGCCTGTTTAGTCTTCGGGTAAAAATGAGGCTGCAGCAAAACTTCTGCTAATAAAATGGGAAAGACAAACGTGTGCTGTGGAGACAAGACCAATTCATTAAAATAAATATTACATAAATATTGTATGAATACTGTATTTAAAGTACAAACCATAGCGTGGTTCATCCAAGGAGGGAAGAACGCATCAATCGTAGCTGGATAAACCAACTCTCTGTCATAGGCAAAAATGGACCAGAAGAGCACGACAACAAACTATAAAAAATAAATAAATGAGATAAGATTATGGAAAAGTGCTTATAGAAAAGACAAAATATGTTAAAAATGACCACTCAACAAATGCAGCAATCCATAAAATATTAGCACAAACAATACAGATTAATTATTCATCTAATTCTGAATAAACAAAAAAGTTAAGGTGCACTTAGTAACTTTTCTGCTGGGGGAGTCCACACCTTCTCGTACTGCTCACTAATACACTGTCATGTTCAGTCATTACTCTATTTTGTGATCTGTTATAATATTGTTTCCTCATCAAAACATACCTAGAGTTGTGTTTTGTTTAATTCACAAATGTTTAACACACAAACTCTGCATATTTAAGTTGAGTTTTTCTCTCAAACAGAAAACACCTTGTGATGTCGTGTGGTAATACAGGAAGTGCTTCACTGTGTTTTTAAACGCCATACACCTTCACTAGAACAATTTGGATCATTTCAGCCCTGGAATTGCCAATCTCTACTGAACTACGGGTAAAAGGTAGCTGTTAACTTGAAAAATACCACTGCGTGACATCACAAGGTAGAACAGAGCATTTTGAACTTTGGAGATATAGACAGACTAGCAAATCAGGTTTGATATTATTGCATGGTTTAGGTTGATATTATTGTATGATTTAACTTTCAGGGGCAGGAGTGCTACTTGGATGTACAGAAATTGTGCAGAAGTTGAAAAAACTGAAGCACTCAAAAAGCACAAAATAATGAAAAGCTTTTAAAACCACATGGCAAATAAAGTTAAAATCACACCAACATGTTTCGGCCTTCATCAAGGGTTTTATTTAGTTTGCTTTACTGTGTAGAACTGGACTGAGAAGGAATGTTATTTAAATGTTAGTTTGTAGTGTGGTGTGCCATTCACTCCTGTGTCATTGGACAGAACAGGACTCCATCCTGAGCACCCAGTGGAAAAGCCCATGTTTATATCACCTGCTGTTTAAAAGGATGCTAGCGGGGTATGGCACACATCTGCTAAGTGAAGGGAAGAGATCTGACTACAGTTGCTGTGGTGTTTTTGGTGTGTTTGGTGTATGTTGCCCATCAACCCACTGCTGACTGTCCCGCAGCTTGGAGCTCCATCCGGCCTAGAGGTGGACAGGAGGATTTGGGATTTAGCTTTGTTTTAATCTCTAGTCTTGTTTTTGTGCTTTGAACCTTTTTCAGAACACTGTGACTGTGAGTCCTTTCTATAGAAACACTGGTACCACTGTTTTTTATTTTGTTTGTGTGTTTGTTTTTGTTTGTGTTTTGGTGTCTTCTGTCTTGTGTGTTTTTTTATATGGACCCTGAGTCTGAAATAAAGATGATGATAACAAACATGTGGTGGACCCTCCCCATAAAAAGTTAAATCAAACTAAACTAGTGCGACAAATACAGTAGGTGCCACAAGTGGATTTGGTGAATTCATATCTTGTCACGCACACACTTCCTGTGTAAAATGAAACTAGTTTGTGTTGTGGGACAGGAGTCAGGAATAGATTTTCACGGGGTTGTTTGTTCACATTGACAGCATTGTTGGCAGATGAAAACAATTGTGTTATTTTTAACCCACATGCAGGTTTACACTGCTGGTTTAGTCTTCAGCCAATAAGGAACAAATATAGTTTACGTTATTTTCTAAAATCTATTAATATACAATGTCTATACATATTTATACCTGCTGTTAAGCACTCAAATATAAAGGGTTAGGGTCTTAAATGATGACTTTTCACAGTTTGAAGATGTTTATTACAAAAGAAGCAGTATAAATGTTGTGACTCACCATTCCCACAGGAAACCCAAACACAGCGAAGAGCAGGTCTTTGCATCTGTCCAAAGAGCTTTGAGATTTCTTCCCGTCCTGGAGATCTGAGGCTGCAGCCAGGCCAAAGAATGTCATCTGTAACAACTTTAACAGAAAAGACAATGTTATACAAATGGAAAATACAACATTTTATTTTATGCTGAAACAAGACAAAAATGATGGTCATTGGTAGAAAATTCAACCTCACTGGCGAAGTGAAAAGTTACCTGTTAATTCTGAACTTTGTTGTCAGGAAATTCTTAAATTCACCCATAGTGTTTAGTGCTTTGTCTGGAATGTTCTGTAGTATTACAGTGAACTTATCTATCTCCATGGAAACAAGCAAGGTACACCAACAAGCCAAGTTACAGGTCAGATCTGAAGAGAAACAACCTCACTCAAGCTGTAAAAAATATTTTAAATCTAATAGACATAAAATCTCAATTGAGACAAGCAGGTGACGGATCCTCCTTCAGAAAAGTTCCATAATGGACCTTTATCTTTTATTTGGTACAAAGTAAAATGACTCACCAAGTTTAGAAAAGTGAGATATTTCCATGGCCCTCCGTACACAAAAATCCCAGGTGGTAATTCTTCACCATCTTTGGCTGCAAGACTTTGGACCACAAACGCGTACCAGCCAAAAGCCAATACATGAAACACTGCACTCAAGTTTAGAGCCATTTGAATTTACAATACAATTCAGGACAAACTCGCTGTGCTCAGTGTGTATCTGACTTTGTACAGTTGGTCGTGGTTTGAAGATTATAAACTCAGATGCTGTATAACTTAAAACAAGGGCTTTCTGTTTAACGCAGTGGGGGTTTCATAAGGACTGTAACATGTGACCGGGGCCGAAGCTGTTACGTTACAATGAGATTATCTGGTTTAGTAACTGCAGGGCTGCGGGAATTAGGCAATGAGCATGAGTAAAGAAAATGGATACACTTAATTAAGAAATTGCAGTAGAGGAGTGAGGACAGCTGTTTAAGCAGTATGGTAACTGTGCACTGACTTATTATTGCCTTTTATAAATATTCCTATGGGGTCATTTAATTTTAGTTTAACTTAGTGTCATTTTGGATTCTAGACTTGAGCATTTTCTCCATCCCCGATTGTGGTATATCATCTGTATTGCATTTATTAATTTACAGGTGTTACTACAAATACTATAAATACCATCAAAAACATTAAGTCTTATTCGAAAGCTTTGTCTGGAATGTTAGTTTGACATGTATATTTGGATGGATTCAATTACAGGTTAATTTATTGCTCAAAATTACTTTAAAAAACATGCATTTTTACAGTGAGCAGAGTTACCTTTCCACAGATATGACCTGTAACTTGACCTGAAGTATCACCTGCTTGTCTCCAAGGAGATAGATACGGTATAGCATTAAAGCCATACTGTGGGATATTTGGGTGAAAAAGTCAATGCAATTGGAAATGCAATATTACTTGACCTGAAGACAAATACTTAATACATAACATTCTTACATCAGTTGGAAACATCAGATCATTATGGGGCAGTTGCTAAAAGTAAAAAAGGGGATATTTTCATGTGGATGTAGAAAGTTTTTTTAGCCCAAACAAAGATTTGACATGATTGTGGTAAGTGTTAAGTGACATAACATTTTGGGACCCAGAACCCAAGTGACTTTGCATAAAACTGTACTATTTTACCATTGGACTATTTTTACAGATATACATATTAAATGCCTTCTCCGTAAATTATGTGTAAATCTCAGGACAAAAGCAGGACAGTCATCTAAGCATGACATGCCTGTTTTTGTCTTCAGGGGAAGCACTAAATGGCAGTGATTTTTCACAAATTCCTACTCCCTCTCAGACCTAGTCCACAGGAGATATGACTTGTTAAAGTGTTGTACCTGGGAATCTACTGTATAATACTCCCATGGATTAGCAGACCACTAACCTTTTTTTCATGTATGATCTAGACTTAGAACCCTGGAGATCTGGCACTGAATTGTTTCTAAGTATTTAATAAACTAAATATCAGTTGGAATCTACAAGTCTTAATCTTCTCTCAACTATCCCAGAGAATACTAGTATGTTAATGGTTAGAACTAGTGCTCTCTGCTGACCACTATCACACGTTTCAAGAGGGAAATGAAAAGACAGTGTATCATGGGTAAATGCTTTTGAACTGGTGCCTTCACTCTCCAACAGTGAATGAAGGGGGATGGAGTTTTTATTCACTGCCTCCTACTGGACAAAATGACCTGCTACACCATCTCTCTCCCCAGTAGCCTTTCTAACTGTAGAATCTGAAAACTCTCAACAGAGACAGTATTTTAATAGTGTTTCCATGCTATCCCTTCCTACACCACCAGAGCAGCACCACTGCACACTGAGAAAAGCAGCACCTGCAGGACTCCATCCTTATGTGTGTATCCTTATGTGTGTATCTTTTTTTGTTACTGTTTTAGAGCTCATATCTCTCATTTGACAGTAGCAGAGCAGCTTTGAGTTTTTGTGTTTAAGTTTTTCTATGATAAGCCTGTCTCGAGGTTGTGGTCTGAGTAGTAATGAAGCTCTGTGTGTTTCTAGCTCACGTTAATGCTGCTTTTCCATGCCTGGACCTAGGTGAGCTGTGAGACGACCCTGTCTGGACCTGCAATAGAAAGGACATTTACAAAAAGCAGCACGGGTTACAGGCACACAAGTATGTAAAGACTGAGCCGTTACCATAGTGATTAACAATTTAAACCAAAATATTATATATTTTGAATGTGAAAAAGTCCTCCAAATTTTGCAGCTAGAAACTCTGTATAGAATGAGATATCTAATTTAGTATTTTAGTCTTAGTCTTAACTGTTTGAATGTATTCCTGAGAGTTTTTTAATCATATTGTGGAGTGGAGTAATACCAGTGCGTTTAAGTGAATTTAAAGTCAAATTAGTATTACTCTGTACAGCAGGAGTCTCCTATCTCTAACGTGGGAGCTACCAGTAACTCCATCGCTTTCCAAGTAGCTCAACAAGGGCTTTCTGAATAATGCGTATTGTGCTGAATAACTAAAAATGTATTTTAAAAATGCTTATTACCATTATAAATGTATACTTTTGATGTCTAACTTTGTGCCCTGGACAACTGGATAATGGTTTATTGTTTTATAGGAATCTATAACTGTGGCTTGTCTAAGGCTCATGGCGAAAAATGAGTAGCTCGCAGCATTTCTGTTCTGGCTAATATAGGTCACTGGAGGAAAAAGGTTGTAGACTCCTGCATTAGAGGTTTTTATGTTTTTGTGTAGATGTTGTGACTGATCCTGTGCCTTCCCCAGTCTATTACTGCTGAAGAGTGGAGTTTGATCTGTCCTTTGCTCCCTCCTACTGGACAAAAGGACACAGCACATGTTGTTGCGCTTTTTGTTTGAGTTTATATTAATTTATGGAAAGTCACATAGCACAATTCACAAATAACCAGCAATAAATAGGACATATCGGTGATATTACTATTATTTTCAGGCAGCACCAGGAGAAAGTCCAGTGGTCCAGTAGAAGGCAGTAAGGGACCAATAAACTCCCACTGTTCATCGGAAGACACAAGCAAACGATATCTGCACAAATAACATTAAAAGGTGTCATGTGCTAATTATTTGTGTTTTGTGAAATAGAGGAAGATGAAAAGACTGGGTCCCGCTGTATTACTCAGGCTGCACTACAGCGTCTATTCACAGGCGCGATCCCACTACTGAGCGGCACGGGGGCTTTGACCTGCTCCGTTTCCGACCTGGGCCGGTGCACCCCTCCTTAGACGACCTGGTGGTCCCGGGCTCCCCCAGGAGCACCATATCGATACCGAACTTAGTGCGGACACCCGATCGACATAGTCCGCTGCAGCTCAGAGCTCCTGAGCTCAAACGATCCGCCAGCCTCAGCCTCCCGGTAGCTTGGATTACAGGCGCGCGCCACCGCACCCGGCGACACCCACAGGGCTCACGAGGAGTTTTGGGGTTTATCTGTGTGACGTCATACATTTGTGGAAACCTAATTGGTTGAAAATGGAGGCGAGAATCTGAGACAAAATAGTCCAGTAAAGAGAGTTAACCAGCTAAAATGGAATGCTAACTATCTGCAAAATCACTTTGCAACTATAAAAGTGAAGTAGGACTAATTAATTAAGGCCATAAAAGAAGGTTTATACAGTAGATTAGGTTAACATGATACAGACACAACACAAGTGGGTTAAACCGATTTATACTGTTTTTGTCATTTCCTGTCCCACTCATCTGTTAAACACGAGTCTCTTTCAGTTGATTACCTGCTTCATTTGGCACATCCACTGCGCTCTCATCACAGCTCTGTGAGTCTGTAAAGGTCACAAAAATAAAACAGGTTTTGCAGAACATGGAGCTTTACGCACAACATCTTATAGAATTGCTTTGGCCAAGACTCCCTGCATTCTCGATTCTCGGAAGTTTTTCTGGCTCTCGGCGAGGGCGCATGCATTTTTCTCTCCTTTACTTCCAATAAGTGGTAGCCTATATGCCTTTACCGTTTCTGTTCCATTGTTTCCTATGTTTTTAGTAACCTAAATCAAAATAATTGAGTGTATGTTCACCATATGCAAGGGAAGTGAACTCCATTCAGTTTATTATAATAAAAACATCAATAGGCCTAACAGTCCCTTCATTATTTTTATTCAGGAGAAAAGGCATTTTACCGTTGCTTCATCTCTCTCCCTACCTCAGCTGTTTTTTTGTTTTGTTTGTTTTTTGTTTGTTTGTTTGGTTTCATTTCTAGTGACGTTACATAGCTGTGGCAACAAGAGACATTTTTCTGTAGACCTACTGGATACATTAGTTATTGTCTTAAGAACATATATCTCTAGTGATATATTTTCCTTTATCTAGGCCTACATTATTTTTCCTAGCACCTCCTTGATGAAGCATCACAGGCCTTTGCTGTGATGACATCTTACACCAAACAATACGGATTTTTCAATCCCTATGTAACTCTTTTGTACTGAAGAGTCACAAGCCTGCAGGTGACTTATTAAAGGATAATGATTAACTCGCGCTGACAGGTGGTTGTGGACTGGCCAATCACATTTGAGTATTTGTGTTCAGGCTTCAGTGGGGCAGCTAAACAGGACCTTGGTGTTCTGTGTGAATATAATTCACTTCATTTGCTTCTTTCTGTGGGCGCTGGTCTGCCTTGGCACGTCTCATCTCCATCTCCACTGTGCGTAAAACCACTACAAATATGGTAAGCATGCAACATCTGCTGAACGATTTAATCAAGATTAACTGATTCTACTCGTTGATACGTCAATAAATTACACTGACAACAATATTTAACCTTTTAAAATGTGCGCCAGAACTGCTAAGTGGTGGCTGATTTTCTGTGATCCATACGCGTAATTACGCAAAAGTGTAGCTCATTGAGACTTCTGTGACTTACTGTTTCTAGTGTTCTGTAGACAAAATATATTTCACTCCATTTTACTCATCAGTTCGTATAGCCAATGAATAAATGCATGTCGTGTTCATTGCAGTGGCTCGTTTGTATCGTTCGTTTTTGTGTTTGTTTGCTTGTTTGTTTTGTTTTGTTTTTTGCCCTTTCAAACAAACTCATCACACATAAAAAATCGTTCTGCGCGTTTTTTCTTGTGTTTGCCTGAATGCAGATGCCTGGATGGACACAATAGCGCCATAATCCAGTGGTTATTGTCACATCAGATTAGAGAAGCGTTGCTATGGGACCTGTTGATGTCATTGCGCTCGAGGCCGTGGGCACGAGACCTGTTTACTCAGCGTCTCTTTCAAAGGGAAGAGAGCGGGACAAAGATACAGATTAGGCAATAAACTAGGTGATGGGTACTCGGTAACGGCGAGGGTAGATTTGTTGTGGGCCATGAGGACATAGTTCATTAAGGACAGATTCATGTGACCCATGTCATGTGTCAAGATTAAGAGAGTGAGTGACCAAAAGTGTGATCAGTCCAGACTTATTAGTAATTTAGACTAGCACAAGGAATAGTGGATCATGAATATTACACAAATGCATATTATTATACTGTATGGAGAAATAAATAAGAGATAATTCAATTTTAGGTTGTAACTTCAGAAATAGAATAAAAATGATTGGGAAACTGCATTTCACACAATGGCAATTACATAATTATGCCAATTATGCTAAACAACTGTATTTGTTATGTAATTTGAAAGTAATTTATGTTTAAGAGTATATACAGGTTGACGCATAGGGTAGGTTCACAGTTGTCCTTCGATCTTAATTTGAGCTCATTAGGCTGTACTTCTGATGTAGACGTGGTTTGGTACTAGATTAATTCTGGTCTAATTCAGTTTTAGTCCAAATTTAGTCATAGTTTTCTCACACATTTTAATCAGGACTGAATGTAGACATATATCTATCTTGTAATTATGCTAAGTTATCATAAAATTAACCATCAACAGCTTATGTACTAAACCCCGTTGAGTCTTTTAAACCAAGAATGCAGTCTTTTCATTGTTTCCAGATGGAGTTTGTTTGACCAATCACAGCTCTTGTTTGAGATCTGCCCCTCTTCTGTTTCAGTCGAAGATTCAGACTCTGAGTGAGGAGGAGAGAGCGCACCTCCTGCCTCTGCTCCGGAGCGCACAGTGGGTGGAGACGGTGGGCCGTGACGCCATCTACAAAGAGTTCATTTTTAAAGACTTCAACCAGGTGATGATTTTTTTTAAGAGTTTTTATATCAAAAAACAATAAAACTAAACAAACTATTACAAAAACAGTGAGGCATGTCTATACTTCCATGACTTTTGTTGCAGATATTTGCAGACATACAGTATTACAAATGAGAACTGTCCCATTGCTCAGTCACTACCCTTACATTTACCCTCTCCGGCATCTGCTCAAGATTCAAGATTTTTACTGTCATGGTCCTAAGGAGCAGCAAAATTACATTTAGAGCATCAAAGACTGCATAGTTTTAATGTAAATTGCAATATCAAAGGTGCAAGACCCCATAAATAACCCCATTGTAAACATTAGCACAATAAAATGATCATATGTAATAAAGCACTTACATAATAAACAGTGACAGACATAGCAGCAAAAAGGTCATCAGCATTAAAGTGCATCACAAAGCAGTTCAGTGTTATTGTATTAGTGGATGTGGTTATTGTCCATGAGAGCGTTGTCCACGACTATCTCCAGTCCTTCCACATTTTTAGTGTAGGACTATTGATCCCTAACCTGATTCATCAGCCAGTTTCACTTCATGAAAACTGTCTGACCTCGCAGCATTCGGATTCGGACTTTTTTAATTTAACCAATCAATCGCTGCTGTTTGGATGTATATAATGCGCCAAGTCCTGTAGGAAGAAGGACAATAATGTCTTTCCCCTTGATAAAATTCACCAAACATTCTCTTTGTTCCGGCTTTAAATCCTTGATCTCAGGAATCATTGCCAACACAGAATGTATGTCTTCGTCTACATCCATCTCGACCTCTTTGTTTACTGTTTTGCTGTACCACAGAAGGGACCCAGACAGGCGCTTGAGTTCGACATCATGGCTTCATGGATTTTCACTGATTGGCCAGTGCACAGTCTACAACTTCCGGGGTTCTTGCAAACAGTCTAATGTATGCTGATTCCTGACCTAATCACTGGAGAGAAATGAAATTGAGCAGAGGCACTAAGCCTGGCTAATTGAGCCCTTCCGCATTTCACCTAAGGGCATAGTTGCCTAAGTCATATTTGAACATTTTCGGAAAACAAGAAAAAACTAATTTTTTAGCAGTCACATTCTAAAGTTAGGCAGATATCACAATTTGGCCAAAAAAATTACCTTGGCAATTATGCTGTTAGGCTAACAATTTTCAAAATTAGTTGAGCACATCACTAGCCAAGTACTTACCATGATATGATATGCTATTTTGGTGATCAGATTTCAGACCAATTTCTGAAAACTGAAATATTTTTGTGCTTCCAGGCATTTGGATTCATGTCGAGAGTGGCTCTACAGGCGGAAAAGATTGACCATCATCCAGAGTGGTTCAACGTTTATAACAAGGTAGAACATGAAGAATGCGTCCTGATAATTTAAATATTAACACATTTTAAGGCAATAAAGATCAAGTGGTTCGTATTTAATGAATGTGAGCGGTAATAAGGCTGAGGTACTTCTGACCAAGACTAGCACAAGAAGGACAAATATGAAAAGGAAATGCATTATTATTAATTTACAAGATTAATTACAGGAAATTAACACAATGCAAGACCGCACTACCACTTTACTGTACTACATACCTCTTGTTTTATTCTTCCTGTAATATTACTCAGTCATCTTAGTCCTTATTTTTCATCATTTTGAAACCTATGGATAATAAAGCAATGGAAATATTCTGTTACCATAGACAAAATAAAGCAAAATATATCATTTGAATATTGAAAAGTCCTCAAAATGTCACCTATAACATGATACGAAAACCATCTAATTCCACATGACAGTTATTGATTTGGCATGAGTTAAATTTGTGGTTGTTATTTAAAAAAAAAAAAAAAAAATGTTAATGGTTTTCATTTCAGGTCCAGATCACCCTGAGCACTCATGACTGTGGAGGCCTGTCCCAGCGAGATATAACTTTAGCAACATTCATCGACCAAGCTTCATTGATGTGAGCCTTTAAACTATCGGTAAATTGTAATGAACTACAAAAACCCCAAAGAAGAGCGATCCTTCCTTCGCTCCTTGAGTATAGTTGCTGTTTGACTGGTGGACATTGTGTGAAATTGTTACAGAAATCATTCCATGTTTTGTATTTTTACAGTGTTGTCTTAAATGTGCCAAATGTGCCTATGAAGTCCCAAATATTGTATTGTTACGATTTTACTTACTGTAACTAAACCTTACCACAGTGTTTTAAGTAAGTAAAATTAAATTGTGAAACGTTTGACTTGTCTGTTGTTAATGTTTAGATACTGTACCTTAAAAAACCAGCAGGTGGCTCTCTACTAACAACACTAATGATTTAAATGCACTCTGCTCTTAAAAACAGGCTGGGACGGGTAAAAGTGGATCATTCTAGTACAAAGTGCAAAGATAAATACTAGATGACATTTGCTTTACTGCGTTAGTGAAAGTTGTTTTTCAGTCTGTTGTTGTGCATTCACACTCAAGATGTTTTTTGAGTCCTGTTTAATCTTGGATTGGCCATTTTCTAGTCCTGGTAAATTCAGTTTTAGTCCCAATATTGGAGGTGGTTTGGGAGGACTTTAATTATACTTTTAGGTTTGTATAAAACACAGTAGATAATAAAAAGGATGAGCTCATATGAACAAAATATAATTAAAATAAGTGCACAGAGGTCTTGTATTACAGTAATAATTCAATGTTAAATTAATACATAGATTTATATAGCACCATACTCTGTGGTGCTATTTTAGTAGCCACAGCTGCCCTGGGGCAAGATTGATGAGAGCAAGAGACTGCTAAGCCCCTCTGACTATCAAATCAAATAATTTTTTTCCACAATTTAAAATTATAGTCCCACAAGGCACACCTTTATACACATGTATATATATAAATATGTTCATGCATTTGACACATACTGTATATTATGTATGCCATATGTGTTAACTGTGGAAAAAACATGGACATGGACTCCCAAGCTTGTGTATATGGGGTCCACCACCACAGCGTGATTAATTTAGTGGCTTGACAGGTTCAGTTTCGGTTAAATTACAACCACAGACAAGACAATAAATTAATAATTATAATAATAATAATAGATTCAAAAGGGAAAAAACAAAACAAAAAAAACTATACAAAACAAATTAAAATAAGTGAAAGAGAAGAAATAATAAATTATATAGTAAAATGAAATAAAAAAAAAAATAAATGAAATTAAGGTTTCTACCTATTACCAACACACACACACACCACATTCATATGAGGCAATATGGCTGAAGTGTATTGCTTAAGGATACAACAAAACTTGATCTGAGTGGAAATCTATCTTCCAATCTTCGGGTTGGGGGACCACGGCGTTAACCACCGAGCCGCTGTTGCCCTAATTATACAAATATGGAGTTATGTATGACAGAGGATTGAAAAAGTTCAGTCAATCTCAAATGAGATTAGCATTAAAGGTTTTATTTAAAAAATGATTTTGCCATTGAATTGACACACATTTCTTTCAAGCATGACTCAAGATAAAAATGTTTTTGCTTAGTTTCATGACCCAAACCGTGGGCACAGTTTGTATGAACTAATTATTAGTTAAAAATGTCTAACCAGGCACTGACAATGTTACGCAAACCTGAATATATTTAAATATGATGAAAATACATTCAACTAATCTCTCAAAACACAAAACTCCCAGTGGTCACATAAATGGTTAGATAACAGAAAACCATCTTATTTCTCTCCAAAAAGTAGAGCAATCCTTGTTGGAAAAGTTACATATTGCACAAACATAAATTAATTCAGGGGATACACAAAAGCAAACAACAACAAAATTATGAAAATATCAAAATTACAGACAGGACTTGAATGCATCAGTCTGTGGATGAGAACACAGTGAAACCGCTCATTATCAGTATCAAACAAATGCCCCAATGTTGTACAGTCCATGATAGAAAAAAAAAAATCTATGTGGGTTAGTAATGGGTTAAATTTGAATTGCGTAGAAACTGAGGTAGATTGAATTAAAAGACAAACAAGATATAAAAGTGTGTTTTAGCTCTATGTTAAAACAGTATTAGTCCCAACAGTCATCATGGATTACATATCAAACTTAAAAATGAATGTTTTTGTGAATCAAGCTTTGGCTTCCTCTAGCCCTCAAGTTACAAAATCTCTAATGTCTAAAGACACTCACGCCACTACAGCTGCGCCCAACTACTGGAGGTCTGAACACTACCAGGAAAAAGTTTGGATCTTTCATTCAGTGTTTTTTTTAATTTATTTATACTACTTTCTACATTTTAGATACAAACTTCACATATATGAAGCAACATATATACAATTAAGATGAAACAAAGGGTGACTAATTTGAGGATTTGACTCTAAAATATATCTAGAAGAGTTATTCAGCTTTTCTTCGCTACATAATTCCATTTTACTTCATATATTTGATGTCTTCTGTATGTATATAATCTGTAGAAAGTAGTAAAAATAAAAAACACTGAATAAGAGTGTGTGTCCAAACTCTTGATGCGTAGTGTTTATATATTATATGAGTTAATTTGCAAAAACAGATATCTTTTTGATAACAATATAGTCAGAGGAGCAAATATAGTGCTAAACAGACTAAACTGTGAGCATTCGACATTTGTTTTTTTCATGACACTTGTTTTGGCAAATTAACTCACTGCTTTTCACTGCTTTTGTCTCTTTTACACTAGAGATTTGCATTATTTTCAAGGCATTAGTAAAATAAATGCACTTGTTTAACATAACTTGCTTGGATGTTAAAGATAAAGATAAAACTTTTAACCGTTTGATGGGAAAAAGTCCCAACAGGCAGCTGCAGCAACCCTAAAGTTTTGACGTCGTAGTTATTTCAGTGTTAATAAATGTATTTAGTTAATTCAACTGACAGTGGTTTCTGAAGTTGGGACGCAGTGCTTATTCCCATTGGCTTAAAGATAAACATTAAAATAAATTACGTTAACCATGTTATTGACAGCTCAGATAGGTCAGGTAATTATTTAGGTATCTGATATAAACGGTTGTGGGTTAGAGGAGATTAGTGGTACAAGGACAACTCAAATAGAGACATCAAACTAAAAATAAAACTAATATCTCCCATTTTTGAATCTTTTCTTCTACATGTTTCAAATGTAGACAAACATTTTTCAACTGTAATTTTTCCTAAGTGCCAAACAAACATGCTCATGCTTTGAAAAGACAATGAAATTTCAAGTTATTTGCAGATGAACCTGATATGTTCGACGAGGGCATCGCAGTGCTTCAACAGACTAATGCTATTTTTTTCAGATATTGCTTTCATTATCAAAGCCCTAATAGTTGCATTGCAGAAGGCTACAGCTAGAGGGCAGCATAGCAATTTGTATTAAGATTCAGTGGTTTGTTGAAATGTTATGACATAAAAAAGTGAACGGTTGAGCAATGCAATCAGCAGAGAAAATGTTTACATGGAAATTGAGTTTTAAAACAAACAAAAAAACACATTATTATTAATTAAAATATGTGTTACAGAACTTAAAAGTATTCATTTGTGAAAGTGAAAAAGTGAATCTCTTTAAAACTTAGAAAAAACTACATATCTTGAGTTTTAAAAAGTGTATATTAAATAATTGTACTTTATAATGACCAAATTTTAGGACATTTAATAATTTTGACTGGTTTGAATGTGTTTCAAGAGCCAGGCTGGTGCCACTTTGTGCCTCCACTCCATTTCATTTCTCTCCAGCAACTAGGTCAGTAATCAAAAATACACTAGACGATTTGCAAAACCCCCAAAAGTGTGAGTTCGGGCACCAGCCAATCAGCGAAGAGTCATACATTCTGAATTTTGTAAAGGGGAAAGACGATATTACTCTTCTTCCTACGGGATTTGGGAAAAGCTTAATATACCAGTTAGCCCCGTTAGTAGCACATTACACACGTCATGACCAAATAGCAGCGACTGGTTAAATAAAAAAAGTACCCGCCTACTGTTGAGCGAATGAATTCTAACACTGTGAGGTCAGACGCTTTCTATGAAGTGAAACCAGCTGATGAATAAGGGTAGTGTTTCAAACCGTCTTAAGAAAAATATTCATTATTGATCATTTGCAGCTGATTCCCAGGGTTGTGAAGATAACAGTTGTCACTGCTGTCTGAAGCTTTGTTAATCAAATTAGACTTTAATGTGAGCTTTGTTTTAACACAGTCTCACCAGCAAGAATGACTTGACTGAAACTGCAACAGGTGAGCACATTTATGCTGTTAAACAAGTTTCTCACATATAAAATTACAGTTTTTCAGTCAGTCACTCTTACCTTAGCCGAAAATCAAAACCTAAACTGGACCTTGAACAATCGTATTGATCACAGGCTCCTGAAAACGTGCTGTTTAAATCCATTTAGTATTTTTAAAGCAATGCATCAGCAGCACTAGTTTTATTATGTAATGGGCCCTATGAGGACTCTGCCGTTCACGGGTCTAAAAAAATCACAAAGAAATCTAATGAAACCAGTCAAAAGTAGTGTCTAAGGAAAAAAAGCCAGATACTAAATACTGAATTGGATACCACAATGATAAAAATATTTTCTTTCAAACAATATGAAGTATTTTGCACATAATAATTGTGATTTTTAACTCAAGATATTCAGTTTTTGCAGAGTAATAATTAAAACGTGGCTGTGGATGGGTTGTGCTTGTCTACAGATGTTTTCAGTTCAGATAAGGCATCAGAGCAGGGGAAGGCGAGCGTGGTTTCCCTGTTTGCAGTGGATCAAAGCCCAAATCGTGGCTCACATTTGGGTTTTCAGTGGGCTTTCCCGTTCCCGTTCATGTGGCTAGTGCTGGTTTTTGGGACCTCAGTGCTGTAGAGACAGTCCAGAAAACCACGAGAGATTTCCGTGACCATCGACCGGTCTGGAATCGACTGGGCCATGCCGTATATCGCTCCCTGTGAAGAAGAGGAAGCAAGAAGTATTTGTAAATGCAAGTGTTGGGTTTTGGCTCAGGGTTAAAGTAGCAAACAATAATTGTTTAGTCATGTTATTATTTAGTAATGCATCAAGATTACTTTTGGTTTCCATTTTAGTTCTCCAAATTTTCACTGTAAGTACCACAAGAAAGCCACCAGATTCAGACCAAATCATTATGTAATAAGACTAGTCAGTTCACTGGTCCACAGTGTCTTAGTCTTCATTTGATTGAATATAAAGTATTTATATGGACAACAAAAGAAAGGGGAATACATGGAGAAAGTTAGATGGATTTTTGGAAGTGAATTGTGAATTTATTCTGCATTTTGACATACAAATATCCAAAATACAAGTGCTTTTCCTATTAGTGTGGAGCTCAGCGTGACTGCAAACTTAGATTTTTGTATATCTTCCATACATTTTTCCCGTACTTTTAGAAAATATTAAAAGTTCAAACTAATTATTATTTTCTATTTTTGTTTTTTCAGATTGTCTAAGGGAAAAAAGAAAGAGAAATTTACTTCCAGAGCAGTGGGCAGTCACAGTTTAGCTCCATATTATCAGATCCTTGAGGTAGTTTTGGACCTCGCTAGAGCCACACTCCTTTTCACTCAACTAATAATTGATGTGCAAAATTTCTTCAGTCAACTAGCTCCAAATTAGGACAATTATCAAACTGCTGAAGTAGGACTGCTTTGAAAACAGACAGAATACATGTCTTTTAGAGTAAATACAGCAGCAGAGTTTTGTCTAACCAGTCCTGTGGTCTTCTCATTGGGGTTCTTCATGATCACAGCGACTGCCTCTCTCACATCTTTAACAAAGTGATCTGCGACTCCAGGCTGAGTGTGCAGGACTGTGCAGCAAATGTGGATACTAGGAGACAAAAGGGTGATTATATTCAACATTACTGTGTTTAATTTACCACGACAGACCAAATAATATCAGTAATTTAATGCAAAGTATCATCAGCCATGTTAAAATTTCTCAATTCCTACATTTTGATTTTCATGGAGCAATAATAAACATCAAAATATTTCACTATGCTCCAAATAAATCTATAATAGAGGTATTTTAATTTAAAGATGCACTCAGAGGTGAGGTCAGACCTGTGCAGAGGTGACCCCATTTACAGTAAGAAACCATAATTTTCAAGGCATTTTTTTCCCGCAAAATCATAGGCATTGACAACACCAACATCAATAAGGACAGTTACAGAAATTGGGTTCGGCTTATGCACCAACATATGGCAGCACAAGCCACCTCAGCCTATACCTCCTCTGTGTGGGCTCAACACTCAGGTGATCCTGTCCCAAAAGTGAGCACTGAAGAACTGCAGCTGCCCAGAGACACCAGGTGCACTCTGGCTCAGCTGCGCTCAGGATACAGCCGACTCTTGAACTTATACCTCAGGTGGATTAACACTAAAATAACTGGTCAAACATCTCACACAACACAGCACCTCTTCACCTGCCCTGCAAAGCGAACACCGCCAGATCTCTACTTGGGATCTCTATGGACAGACCACATAGGAGCTGCAGTATTCCTGGGACTAACTTTGAAGACGATGATGAAAGACGGCTCGGGTTACAACAATAACATGAATTTCAAGGTACTTTTTGGCAATATGAACCCTCATTATGAATAAAGACAAGATAGATACATTTAATATATTGTACTGTGGAACATTCCAGGCAAAGCAATAAAATACAAAGTTACAGGCACCTTTAAAGGGACAGTCTGGAATTTTGGACATAGAACCTCATTTCCTGGTTAGCCAGAGTGTTGGAAACGTGTGGAGACACTTTTTTAAATATTCCATCCAGTCCTTGTATTTGCAGAGGTCACTGGTGCTAGGCTAGTGCATGTCAATGGCCATAGTTATCCTGCCACTAAAACAGTCTTATCCATTACACAAAACACCCGAAGCAAATCTATTATTACGCCAGACTATCGATGTGACTGTCTGTGTCGATAGAATAATTTTAGAAGTATATCCAACTTTGCATTTGAAGGATTTGTCTGAGCAGCAGCAGTGAGTTGTACATCCTGATAGAAAGCTCGGCAGCGGTGGACTGATATATGAGAAAATAGTCCTTCAAAATGCAACAATTGATACAATGCAAGGTTAGTTTTATTTCAAACATTATTCTATCAACACAGACATTTACATCGACAGTCTGGTGTAATAATAGATTTGCTTCGGGTGTTTTGTGGAGTGGGTAAGACTGTTTTTATTGGCAGGATAAATATGGCCATTGACATGCACTAGCCTAACACCAGTGACCTCTGCAAATACAAGGACTGGATGCAATATTTAAAAAAGTGTCTCCACACATCTTCAAAACTCTGTCTCACTAAGAAATGAGGTCCTACATTCAAAATTCTGGACTGTCCCTTTAACTTGAACTAATAAAATATAAAGTTAGTGTTTAGTTATTGTTGTGATTCTCATTTATATTCAGAACAACAACCAACAACTTCAAATAATTCCTGCAAATAACAGAACAGTACCTATAAACACTTTTGCATCATATTCTAATTCAATTCATTCACTCAAATACACAGAATCTTTCCTGAAAGTGCAGCTCTAACCAGTTTTATGTAACTCAACTTTCTATTTTTAACTACATCTGTGGGCATTTATCCTCGAGACATTTTTTCATTGATCATATCTTGTATCTGTAAACACATCTGTCTTGGTCTTATTTTAGCGACACATACCTGGATGGGTATTGGAGCGTGTTCAGGTTCCAGCCCTTTGACGTCAGTGCATTTGATAAACGGAAAATATCGAAAACATCGGAACCTATAGCCACCACGGACACCTCTGGATTTCCAAACACGAACACACCCTTTATCTTACGGATTCTGTCAACAAGAGGATAAAATGCATTTAATCTTTGAGATAAGATTACTGTTAGTCTAAAGTTCAGCAGCCAGCAAGTAAATTTTGCAGGGTTTTTCAGGCAACGTCAAAGCATTCTATAGGATTCTAATGTATGACAAAGACTGAAGCAGGTAAAAAGGTAAAATATTGTTAACAATCCAATATAATGCATTACTAAGGCTTAAAAATACTTCATACACCTTTGGCATTCCCAGTAGTAAAAACTGGTATAATTTAATAAAAATAATTAGGCATCTTGAAAATATCTCAAAGCCTAGCTGGAACTTCTGGCAACACTTTATTTTAGGGTGCACTTATTAACATCTAACTACCCACTAATTAGTTGTAGATGGTTAATTTGTCATTAATTCGTATTTATTCAGCCCTTATTAATGTCCCCATTCCCCATTCTGCTATTAATTACAATTTACAAACACTTTCCTATTAATACACTCCTTATTATTGCTTATTGATACGATACTAGGCCATTTTTGTCCATGAATTATGATTCTATTTAGCTTTTGGCACAAATAAATTAAAACTAAATTTCTTGTGCTACTAGTTCTTAACAACACACTTATTATCAAAAGCTAATTAGAATCATAATTCATGGACAAAAATGGTTTAGTATCATACTAATAAGCAGTAATAAGAAAGTATTAATAGGAAAGTGTTTGTAAATGTCTAACTAATAGCAGAATAAGATTATTGGGAATTGGACATTAATAAGGGCTGAATAAATACTAATTAATGACAAATAAACCATTTACAGGTATGTTAATTAGTAGGTAGGTAGATGTTAATAAGTGTACCCTAAAATAAAGTGTTACCAAACTTTTAAATAAATCCAAAATAAGTCCACTGTGTACTGTCTGCATCTAATTAGTAAGCGTTTTATAGTCTGCAAATCAGGAAGTGTGTGTTTGCATGTTAGTTGTTAACTTTAGAGTCATGGCAAAACTCTGCTCTGGCCTCTGAAAGTTTTTTTTTCAAACAGTAAAAATCAAGTACAGAGCCATTAAACACAAAACAAAAAATACTCGTGCTCACTCTTTTGTAATTTTGCGAGCTGTGGTGATGATTTTCCTTGTGGCGTCGACGTATCCACTCTCGCCCATGTGCATCATCGTGGCCCAACAGGCGGCGATGATTCCTCCAGGCCTGGACCCCGCGATGGAGGGGGAGGCATAGATTCCTCCCTGCCAGTCGGGGGCGACGAAGTACTGGTACTGCCGGTACTTCTTATCACTGTACAGGATCACAGAGGAGCCTTTGGGGGCGTATCCATACTGTTAAAAAAAAAAAAAAAATGAGAGAGAGAGCATAGATATGGGCTTTAGCAGATAGGAGAAGAACATACAGTAAAGTATACACAGCTGCAACTAATAATTCATCTTTTGTACTTTTTTTACTACTCAGCAATTAGTTTTTTTTGATAAGGGAACGAGTCAAACAATTATTTTCTGTTGCGCACTGAAAAATTAAGCCAAATAAAGGTTGACATCATGACTGAAGGTTTCCAGGTGTAGAGAACATTTAAAAATTAAGTGTACTAAACTAAACTTTCTTTTTATTTTTTTTACATTTTCATTTAATATGGCCACGGTCTTTGTTATGAAAGGTAGTTTAGTGTGCATTTTAAACTCTGTATTGTGCAAGTAACAATTACCATAATGTGATTCCAATTACTTTATAAGCCGATTCATCATGATTACTCCTCTTAGTCATTGCAGCCCTACAATAAAGTTAAATGCTTTCTTTGCAGCAGATAAAATGTCAACAGAAGAGGCATATCTGATCTTTTGTTAGACCTTATTTTAGAATAGCATTTGTACACTGCAAGTCAAACATAACTAACATAATAGATCACATCTGGTTTTGTTTCAAGAAGCTTTTCCTAACAGCTCGGTAAGAACTCGCTTCAAAAATAGAGGTGGAACATACATTAAAAAGGTATAATATTGCAATTGTTGTTTTGAGAATATGAAATATTAGCCAATTTCATTTCTCTCCAGCGATTAGGTCAGGAATCAGAATACACTAGACAGTTCGCAAAAAACCCAGAAATGTGAGTTCGGGCACCAGCCAATCAGCGAAGAGCCATACATTCTGTGTTGGCAACGATTCCCGAGATCAAGGATTTAAAGCCAGAACAAAGAGAATGTTTGGTGAATTTTATCAAGGGGAAAGACGTTACCGTCCTTCTTCCTACAGGATTTGGGAAAAGCTTAATATACCAGTTAGCCCTGTTAGTGGCGCATTACATATGTCACGACCAAATAGCAGCAATTGGTTAAATTAAAAAAGTACTTGTCTGCCATCGAGCAAACAAATCCTAATGCTGCGAATTCAGATGGTTTCTATGAAGTGAAACCGGCTGATGAATCAGGCTAATGAAATATCAGAATATCAAGAATACAGTCTATAATAAAAAAAAAGTGGATAAAAAAAAACAAAAGACAACCGAGACCTACAGTGTAATCTATACAAGGGGTATACAGATGGATTGCTTTGGATGGATTACCAAAACATCTTCTAATTATCAACGACAAACAATAACATTTTAACTACAATATTCCACAACCCTAAAATATTGTAAATGTACAACAGTATACAATCTATAATGGGTCATAGAAGTTATTTCAAACCTCTACAGCTCAAATGTTTATTGTAGAATGGGACAAATCACAAAAAGTTCCCCAATAGCACAAAGAAAAAATTCCCAGGATAAATATTGACCTCCAAAACATCCTGTTCCAACAAAAATATACTGAACAATAACACGATATAGTATTTATCATAGTAAAGTTATTCATGTTTGCCAATATTGTTAACCCCTAATTCAAAAATAAGTTGTTAATATAAACATGAATTTGTACCTTGTGTGTGTCAGCAGAGATACTAGTCACACCTTTCACCCTGAAGTCAAAAGGTGCAAGTGGGAAACCAGCTTTTTCCATAAAAACGATGAGAAATCCTCCCAAACAGGCGTCCACATGCAGAGGCAGACTATACCTCACCGCCAGCTGTGCACAGAGGGAGGAACCATGAGCTCACTGCTGTTTTCAATACAGACGTTATTTAAAGTAACACATTGTTTTAATCCTGACCTTGGCCACTTCCTCTACGGGGTCGATGATGCCGTGAGGAAACTGTGGAGCGGAGCACACAAGCATCGCTGTGTTTTTGTTGATGGCTCGTTTCATGGCCTAAAATGAGACAGAAGAATGAATATGAGCAAAATGTTCCTGCCTATATAATTTAAATTACCTTTGGGATCAATGAAGTATCTATATCTATCCTATCTATTTACACTGTTGGGCAATTTACTTCAAAACTGTAATGCGTTATTTATTACTTTTTACTGTCATTTCAAAGTAATTTGTTACATTACAATATTACTGCATTTAAAATGTAAGATATTACATGGCTATTGCAGCACGTAAGTTACTCTCAACAAAATAACTGTCGCTGACTGTCAAATAACAATCTGCGAGTGAAGATGCCGGACTTTTGCACCGTATATGGACTGAACTAGGACTAAACCAGGACTGAACCGAGGACTGAACCAGGAGCCCTGAACCAAGACAGAACCAGGACTACACCAGGTATAAACCAGAGCTGAACCAGAGCTGAACCAGGACTGAACCAGGACTAAACCAGAACTGAACCAGGACTAAATCAGATCTAAACCAGGACCAAACCAGGACCAAACAAGGACTAATTTTGGACGAGGATTTCGAATCTAGGACCACCCCTGAGAGAACCCTGAGACCGCGGAGCAAGGCTGCGATTAGCCTTGTGAAGCGTGGAGTTCTGCGTCTGTCCTTTCGCCCACGTTTACCCGACGGTCTACACGGGCGCACCTCTGGGCCCATCCCAACATTCCGAACCGTAACGATGGCATTTCACCACTGCTGATATTGCGGTGATTTTAGAGAATTTGTATGAAGAAAAACAAAAAACCCACCACTTCAGTCCAGGTTAAAATGCACTGTAACACGCATTACTGACATTTGTACCAAGTAAAATATTAAATTTTTTTCCCTGTAATGCCAAAAATTACTGTGTTACAGCAAAAAGCAATGCATTACAATAACTCATTACTTTTATAACGCATTACTCCCAACACTGTCTAAAACATAAAAATCAGTACTGCTTTCATAATAAAACAATTTTGCCCACATCAAAAAGGGTACGCGGCCATCATAATGTATATTCAGTAAAACATACAAAAATACAATTATAAATGTCTCTAATATCACTAACATGTATCTGAGAATCCATTTGCCAAACCCACTTGATTATTCATATTATGTGAAATTATTCTGAGTTTAATCCCAATTTTCGCATTGAAATTTCATTGCAGAATTTACGTTTTTATTTACAAACATTTAAAGAGACTGTAGAATGTGTGGTTATTTCAAATACCCCACAAACGAATTAAGCAATTAATTATAAGTATCTGTACTGACATGCTCAAAACAGTCCTCTTGTCTATTGTTAAGTGAGTTCTTAGCTATAAATGTTTACTTTGAGGACGTCATATTATATTCTCAGCTATACTTCATTTATTTATATTATGTGATAATTAAGGCAGAAGTGACACATCATGTTTTATGTGGTTTTAAACTCACTTTCACATCGACTTTCATGGTTTTCTTGTCCAGGGGGATGTGAACGAGCTTCATCCCAAAATAGTGAGCTGCTTTGTCGAAAGGCTGCGTGCACGCTCACAGGTGCAAGTCTGAGGTGGCAGAGGATATGGTCATTTAAAATATTTCAATACAAATTCAACCAGGGTTATTTGAGGACACACATGTTTTGACGGATAATACTGACACTGGCTGGGACATGTTATGTCTGGGTTAGTATATTGTTTTGGAAAAGTAAGTGTTCAATTAAAAATGCTCAAAGGCAGCATGACAAGTTAGACAAGCCGACAACTCAAAGGTCAGCGAGGTTAAAAAGCAATTTGTTTTTGTCGTAACTGCATCTAAGACATGTTTCAGCTGTTGACATTTATTCAAAACATTGTAGTAGTAGTTTTTCTTGTTTTTTTTGGTCTACGGGTATAAATTAATTTACTAGGGGCTTATTTATAAAACGTGTAAATGACCTAAATGTTACATATGTGTTAAAGGTGCATTGTGTAACTTTTCTGGTGGAGGCTCCGTCAAATGCTTCTCTTAATGGAGATGTTATTGCTTTGTCTGGAATATTTCACAGTATGGTAATAAATATTTTTGTCATCATGGAGACAAAACCTGGCCAAGTTTCTCAATAGGGCAAAAATATCAAAATATTATTATACTGTATCGTTTAATGTGACAATACAGTATCGATATCATAGGCTACTGTATCGATATATCACCAAGAGCATTTTAACGCTACAGTTTTGTTGCTTGTTTAGAGAAAGGAATCCCGTTTATTTGACTTTTTCGCTGTTTTGATGATTAAAATGTTTGTGTTTCATATTAACTTTGCACAAGAAGTGGTTTAACAAAGACTTTTAGTATCACAGCCATGATTTAGCCTTTATTTTTTACTGAACTGTATCGAATCGATTTGAAATATATCGTATCGAATCGAAAGTTCACTGTATCAAGTTATGTATCGTATCGGCAACTTCTTAATTAATACCTGTTTTTCTAGGTATTTTTGAGTCGTAAAACCACCTGTAATGAATAAGTAAGTAAGTAAGGTAGAGCTGTTTAATGTCATACTGTGGAACATTTCAAGCAGATCATAGACATATCCATAGAAACAAACAGGTGACAGACGCCCAACAGAAAAGTGCACTTATAAGTTGGTGATTTATACAAATACAACTTGATCACTGAACTTTGCACTTGAGAAGGTATTTTCTCAGAGATACTTTGTCAGAATTTCAAGTAAAGTTGAAGTGAAGTAGCTGCTTTACTGTATATGATCAAAATCAGACTGAAAGAAAAATGAATGTGTCTTACATTTCAGGATATTTGACTCCTCGTTCATAGGCCATGTCTCTGTACGCTTTACAGGCCATCAGTATACTCTCTGTTCCCCCTGAGGTCACCTGCAAAAGGCATCAAAGCACCAACAATCACAGAGTCTGCTACATTTATCATGTGTTTTTTATGTGTTTTGTATGTATTTAAGACTAACCGCGCCGCAGGAACTGGGTCCACCATGAAACAGAGAGCATGACATTCTCACTACTTCAGCCTCCATCTTTCTAACACCCGGGAAGATGTCCGGGTGCAGCGGGTTACTCCACGCAAAATCCCCATAAACCTGTACAGACAAAAGAAGGTAAATCATGCACGTTTTAGTTATCTTACATCATTTTTTATTAGCCAGGCCCCATTAAGATGCTAAATTTTAAACCCTGGATAATGTGTAATATTGGATGTTTAAAATCTAGTTTAAAATGGTTTGCATAATGCTGAAAAAAAAGTTTTACGACTACATTTGAGAGTGTACTTTGTAAACAACTGTGCATTAACTGAAACATGAAGCTGAAATATGTGCAGCTTTACTTAAACTATTATGTATGTATGTATGTATGTATGTATGTATGTATGTATGTATGTATGTATGTATGTACACTACCGGTCAAACGTTTTAGAACACCGCACTTTTCCAGTTTTTCATTGTTTACTGTTGACCAAAATGTATTCTAAACTTTTAATTCATGAAACTGTCCACCTTTGGCAGATATAACAGCTGAACACATGCGTGACTTGTTCTTTTTACAATAGAAATCAAATATTCTTCAGAAAGTTCTTCCCAAGTCTGTTGCAGAAGTTCCCATAAATGTGTGTCACTTGTAGTTTGCTCGGCTTTCACTCTTCTGTCCAGTTCATCCTAAACCAGCTCGATGGGGTTTAAGTCTGGAGACTGTGCTTTACACTCCATGTTTTCAAGTTTACCATCTTGTTCTTTTTTCCTGAGGTAGTTTTGGCAGAGCTTGGACTTGTGTTTTGTTATCTTTTAACTTTTTTTTTTAAACCTCTGGCTGTTCAGTACTTACTTTTGTACCATTTCAAGCTGTTCATTAGGCTTACACAACTTGAATTGCAATAAGTAACTGGAAAAATTAGGGTGTTCTAAAACTTATATGGTAAAACAAGTACAAGTAAATTAGCCTTCAGAGTATACAAAAAACAGAGTTACAAGCAAAGAATCGTTCTATGCTGTTGCACTCTAAAGTCAAGCAAATGAGGCACTATCATTACAGAATAGTTAATGGAGTTCAACAGGGACTGTGTGCTCGGGCTCCGGAAATACATTTTCCATTCCTTTTCCCCACAGACTTGTGTTTAAATATTAAGAGTTCAAAGACATCACAGAGACTAACAAGCTACATGGCAACTAGTATTCTTATCTTTTACATTTTGACGTTTTAAGTCAGAGCCACGTTTAAGTTTAAAACTTATAAAACTCTGCAAATTGCTTTCATAATTTTAATAACATTTTCATAAACAGATAAAGTAAAATTATAGGTCTTCTGCTGATTAGTCATTAGGGATGTAACAATAGCCGAAATATCGTGATATTGTATCATCAAAGTTTTCACAATAATATCATGGACATCACAATATATTGAATTACAAGTCTCTTTGCTTAAATTAAGAGCAGCATTAGCTAAAAAAAGATAGAGGGAACTACATAGACCATGATCCTTTGCTCCATTTCAGTGTAGACTACAAGAAGAAAGAACAGTTCTAAGCACTTTTAAGTCTTATTTTTTTGGATTAAGTCTTGTCAAGGCATATTAAGAGGAAAAACTAGCATATTCACAGTTTTGTTTGCCTCCACAAAATATTGCAATAAATATTGTACCATGGGATGTATATCATGAGAGATTTGGATATCATTACATCCCTAATTGTGAGCCTCCCCACTATATCGTGACCTTTCCCACGATATCACAATAAATATCGTACGGTGAGGTTCATACCATGATGATATCGTATCATGACACTTGGATATTATTACACCCCTATTAGTCACCATATAGCTGTTTAGCCGTGAGCAAGCTGAAATAATCCAAACAAGTCTGGTTATGGTGCAGTGTCTGAAGTGTCCTGGTGGATGTACCTTGACGAGGAGTTTGGTTAATGTTTCGTCGCCCCAGTAAACAGCCCCAGACACACAGCCTTTCTCCCACTGCACCTCATCTGCAAAGAGAAAGAGCATCCATTATTCACTGGACTAAAGCTGATCCAGAGGAGACAGAGTTACCCAGGATGACCTATGGGGCAATACAGTAGATCACTGAGCTACTGTATGTTCACACTGGACAGACACACATGTTGGTTGTCTTCTTGTATTACTTAAAGCACTATGAATTACTTTATGTACGAATTGTGCTATAGAAATAAACTTGCCTTGCCTTTCAATACCTCTTGGGGACATAACATTGATTATACTGTTGCATTTTGTTGTATGTAATATATGTTTTTTAATCATCTACGTTTATACTTTTAGTTTTAGTTTATGCATATTTCTGCCACTCGTTATTTGAACACTACTGTATTTGTACTTTGCTCTTTCCCCATGCAGTACATTTCAGTATTTTTTGAATTATATCCAGTCTCTTCATCCTAAAAGTCCTTGAATAGCTGTTACCGTGACTACCCTGCGTTTACAGTAAGTACATAACCAGATGTTGACTCTGCGGGGGGACAGCTGTGCAGTTATTGGAGCGTGTTGGGTCTGAGGTCTGGATCAGGACTTACTCAGAGTCTGGTATTCTTTGATTTTGTCCAGGACCTGGTTTTGGGACAGGCCTTTAGAGGGCAGCTGCTGCGTGTAGCTCATCCCCTCTTTAAGTGTGCACAGACTCTCTGACATGTCATCCAGCGCCTTGTTCAACTGACTCTGGATCTGTGAAGGAGGGAATAACAAAAAAAAAATCATTAAAGAGGGTATTTTTTCTTCTATGGGGTGTTAACTCCTAACACACTCATGATGTTACCCTTTAATGACTTGGAAATGCATGAAAATGAATGACATCTAAAACCTCCTCAGGTGTGTTTTTGATATATTATAACATGGTAGAAAGCTAAAAAAAAATACCCTGTCTTTAACTTAAACCACTGATTTTCAACCAGTGCCAGGGAACACTGTCGTGCCTTGAGGGATTGCCAGGTAAAATCTAATTTGAGTAGACTTATTCACACAGCCATTTAAAATAAGAATTTGCCAGAGATATTTGCTAGAAATATCTCTTATCTCTTACTGATTTAATTTGATAATGTTTTTCAAAAACAAAAATGTGTCGTGACAATAGGCTGTAAAAAAGAAGAAGAAAAAAAGAAGAAGTTCATAAATACAGTCTATGCTCATGACTTCACGACCAGCTAACCAACCTAAACCATAGTCACATAAACATCTGCTACCTATCTCATATTATTAATGTGGCTATTTCACTTCACTTTTGTGGATCCTTAGATGCTTCACATTTGGTCATAATACCATGGTGATGCTAATGCTTTGCCTGAAGTGTATCACAGTATGGCATCAAACTTATTTTTTGCATTTATTCAATTACAAGAGGTGTTTTTTTTTTTGCTAATAAAATACCTATATAAAAACATTTGCATTTTTACTGTGACTGTCCATAAATCTGACCTGTAACTTGGCAGGATCAACTGTTCCAGGCAAAGCAAAAACATCTTCATAGAGACAAGTTGGTGAAAGAAAAAATTAAATTGTGTACTTTTATCAGATGACTTATCCAGAAACCTGGATCAGTCAGTGTTTTCCAAGCAGGACCATGCATGAAAAGAGGGTTTCATCTCCAAGTGCCACAGAGTTTAACAGGAACCAAATCATGAGTGTAAACTAGGGCAAGCCTCAACGTTAAAAGATACAGATGTTTTCTTTTACTCTAAAACGTGTGTTTAAATTCAACCACTAATCTGCCACTTACAGAAAATATTCAGGTGATACAAACACCAGAAAGCAAAGCATAATTTTGCTATATTTACTAATCTGTACATGTAAGGACTTTTTAAAGCAGTCTACATTCCCAAACACAAGTAAGTGACTAGCATTAATCATAACAGCTAGATTGAACTGGGTCAAGTAAAGTTACACAAAACAAGCACTAAATATTTCACTTTATGACAGAAAGTTGGTGTTAAAATGACCAGAAGTAACCCAAAGTTATGCTCAAAGACTGAAGTTAAAGTGTGCCAAAGGTCCCCCCTCCTCCTCCTCCTCCTTCTTGTCTGACATCTGTGAGTGACTCAGAGCTTTCTACACAATCCTATCACTTATGAACCAAATAAAACAGGAACAATCTAACCACTTATACTCACAGCACTGCCGACAAATGGTATTTTTCTGATGAGGCGAAAACATTGCTTCTTGATTCGAGACGTTAGACCTATGAACCACAAAGAGAAGAAGGGTTGTGGTGAAATACTGGCATAAAGTATTAACCACAAGTTCAAAAGCAGCTGAGTCCAGTTTATAATCATAAAAACAGACACGATCAGATGCACATGACCAAGACTTAGGCATTAAAAGAACTCATTACAAGATTTTATCAACTAAGCACGATGAAAAGGTACACAGGTATTTAGAACAGTTGTCACGTGTAGGGCGGTCATGATTTAAAATAATAATAATAATAATAAATGATAAATTTTTATAAAGCCTATCGCTCTTTTTTTAAACACCACTTTGTTAATTCCTAATCTCAACTGAATTTAGAAGCTAGGTGGGATGGGCTTTGTTAGTACTTGGATATGAGACTTTTGGGAATACCGGGCACTACAGCGGGGCAACAGTGTCTCCAGTGCATATTGTTGTGGTGTCCTTTGGCAACACTCAAGGCCAGACAACAAAGATTAAGCTGGAAATGTCCTTGGCACAGCAGTGTAATTTTAGCCAGGCTGGCGCCACCTAGTGCCTCCACTCAATTTCATTTCTCTCCAGCGACTAGGTCGGGAATCGAAATACACTAAACGGTTCGCAATAACCCCAGAAAAGTGAGTTCAGGCACAAGCCAATCAGTGAAGAGGCAAACATTCTGTGTTGGCAACAATTCCAGAGATCGAGGATTTAAACCCGGAACAGAGAATCTTTGGTGAATTTTATCAAGGGGAAAGACGTTATTGTCCCTTCTTCCTACAGGAACTGGGAAAAGCTTAATATACCAGTTAGCCTCGTTAGCGGCGCATTACATAAGTCATGACCAAATAGCAGCGATTGGTTAAATGATAAAAAGTGCCCACCTACTGTCGAGTAAACGAATTCTAACGCTGTGAGGTCAGACGGTTTCTACGAAGTGAAACCGGCTGATGAATCAGGCTAGTGTAATTTTCCACAGCTATTATTATTATTATTATCATCATCATTTGTTTTGCATGGGAGTAGGTAATTAAAGATTGTCCTTTGTCAAATATAGTGATTTATTGAAACATACTACGTGCTTAGAATGAAAGAGAGCAGTGTTTTGGATTAGACTGCAACTTGAAAATATACATTCAGTCATAATTTCCTGGTGCATGTGTTGTATTCAGAGGCTAGACAAAGGCTTTAACACCTGCTGAGATCATGTTTCATTGGACAATCCCCTACTCTGCACTGCTGCGGTTCCCAAGGGTGTGACTGACGTTTATGACTAATTTATTTAGCTTTTTGTGCGTGGTCTTAAAATCCAAAACATGTGCCACATTGTTCATATAAGCCTGTCTTGTCACTTCTGTCTTATTTTAAATAAAGTAATAATGATAATGTGTTTATTTTATATTTATATTGCATTTCTGGACACACAAAGATGATCTGCATTGTATTATTCATTTGTTTCACACCTGTTATGTGAGACTGGCCTCTACTGCCCATCTGACCACCACTAATACTCATTCATGTTCCACTTTCATCACAGGTGAGGGGGATGAAGTGTCTTGCCCGAGGACACAACGACAATACGTACTGGTCCCAGTTGGAATCAATCCTTCGACTGACTTCTGGTCTGGTGGACAAATGTTCTAACCATTGTTGACCCAATGTACCATGTGACTTTAAAGAAATGAATGTCAAGTTAAACCTACATCAGCTTGAGTTTGGTTTATTCATGTGAGATTTCATGCAATAGTTAACACAAACTTAGACTAAAATGCGTTCAAGTTAGGACCGAGTACTAGCGTGGACTCGATTTGGTCCTGTTCTAGTCTTGATTTAGTCTTGGTCAAGTTCAGGTATAGATTTGAGTTTAGTCCTAGTTAAGTCCCAACTTTTATATGATGAATGTAGAAGTGTGAACGCAGTAGGGCTGTTTGATTATGGAAAAAAATCACTATCACGATTATTTTTGATCAATAGTGAAATCATGATTATTCAAACGATTATTTTTTAATTACACAAAGCATTTCCTCAGCATTTCTCTTTAAAAAAAAACTTAGTTATTGATCAATTTATACAAAATACGCACTTTAGAGCAGTTTTGCGATGTATAAAACATAAAATGAATAAAATATACTTTAAACATGAAATAAGGCATAGAAAAACATAAATGTATCCAAAATAAACTATATATCCAGCTGTTCTACAATCTCTATATTTAAAAAGTAAAATAAATATAGTTATTTACATAAAAAAAGACTTTGTTAAGCTTTAATCGCGTCAACACGATTATATGAGTTTCAAGATCAGTTGACACACAAATCGAAATCGCGATCAAAATTAAATTAATTGCACAGCCTTAGAACTCTAGCCTGATTCATCTGCCGGTTTCACTTCGTAGGAACTGTCTGAACTCGCAGCATTAGTATTCGTTCACTCGATGGTAGCCAGGTACTTTTTTATCTTTATTGCTGCTATTTGGTCGTGACGTATGTAATGCGCCGCTGACGGGGCTAACTGGTATATTAAACTATTCCCAAATCCCGTAGGAAGAAGGGCAATAACATCTTTCCCCTTGATAAAATTCACCAAACATTCTCTTTGTTCCGGCTTTAAATCCTCAACCTCGGGGAATCGTTGCCAACACAGAATATGTGTGACTTTTCGCTGATTGGCCACTGCTCGAACTTGCACATCCGAGGTTCTTGTAAACCATCTAGTGTATTCTGATTCCTGACCTAGTTGCTGGGGAGAAATGAAATTCAGTGGAGGCACTAGGTGGCGCCAGCCTGGCTATTAGAACGCAGCCACAGACTTTACAACAAACGTGCCCATGGACTGTACGATGTTATAAGCACTTGATTTCCCATTCACATACCAAGCAGTTTTAGTTATTTTTCCAACTTAAATCTTATTATTTAACTTGATTAAACTATTTACTTTCTTGTTGGAAGAGGAATCCTTTGACCCACACGGCTCCTATTGTTGTGATGACGGTTGCTCCAATGATCTGCCAGGGCTCCAGTTCACTGCAGCCGGAGTTCACCTGTCGACGTGCCTCCTCCAAATACAGCAGCACCATCTCCCAGTACACCTCCAAGGCACTCTGGACACAGCACAGGCAGGATTAATATCAAACTTGATTTCGATACTAAGGAAAGTCAATGCAGATTCTCATGTTTCTTTCTGTATAGAATATGATTTTCAACATTAAGTTGTAGCACTTTCTTTTATATTCCCATATATTTGTATAATCCCTCAGTTATGCAGGAAGGTATCATCGTGGTCTATGGGCATATACTAGTCTATGTACTCTTATACTTGCTCTGGTACAGCTCAAGATAAACACTACATTATAAACTGAACCCATAGTTAAAATTGAGCTGAAAGACAGACCAGAAATCTATGGTGGAATTTATCTTTTAAGTGGCTGTCAAAATGGAGATGTTTGGAGCTGGTTTGTGGTTAATATCTCTGTAATTACTTGGCTTATCCGCATTAAAGAAAAACTGGCACAAAGTTCAATGTCTTGTATGCCAGCATTAAGAAATTACTAGCTCTTCTTTAACTATCAAGGCAAAAAGTGGTGGTGTTACTCAAAAAGACATAAAACTGTCAATTGAAACCATTAGCCATACAGTTAATATGACAAATTTGTGGAACTTATTTCAATCTGGAGTTGAGTTTTGTTTCATTCACAAATGTTCAACACGCAAACCCTGCATATTTAGGATTTCTTCTCTCAAACACAAAACACTCTCTTCAACCTTGTGACGTCATGGGGTAATACAGGAGGTGTTTAACTGTGTTTTTAAACTCCGTACACCTTCACTAGAGTCATCTGGATCATTTCAGCCTTGGAATTGCCAATCTCTGCTGAACAAAAGGGAAAATGTAGCTGTTAACTTGAAAACTACTGCGTCATCATGACATCCCAGTGTGGAAAAGAGCATTATGAGCTTTGGAGATGTAGACAGACCTAATAAAGTGTCACTCAAACATGTGTGAATGAAACAAAACACAACTCTGGGTATGTTTTTGAGAAGCTTAAAGTTCATAAGTCAATTTTGCGTAATATAGGACCTATAAAATATTATAATATTTTCAGTACATCATAAGAAACAAGGGAAGAAATATAAAAACTAGGGGTGTAACAATAACCGAAATATTGTGATATCATATCGTCAAAGTTCTCACAATAATATCATGGACCATCACAATATATTGAGTTACAAGTCTCTTTGCTTAAATTAAGAGTTATGGTGCAGCAATAGCTAAAAAAAAAAAGACAGAGGGAACTACAAAGACCATGATCCTTTGCTCCATTTCAGTGTAGATTACATGAAGAAATAACAGTTCTAAGCACTTTTAAGTTTTAGTTCTTTGGATTAAGTCCTGTCAAGGCATTTTAAGAGGAAAAAGTAGCATGTTAACAGTTTTTTTAGCCTTCACAAAATATCGCAATAAATACCGTACCGTGAGGTTCATACTGTGACGATATCGTATAGTGAGACTTGGATATCGTTACACTCCTAATAAAAACTAGTTACAGAGTTATAACAAAGATGAACAAGATCTTAAGTCTAATCCAATTAACTAAACTCCCCATCTATTTTAATACCCCTATTTTGTTTTAAATGACACTACTTACATCAGAAGACATCGTTGCTAACATCCGTAGACGTTTTTACTCCAAACTCAAAGTCCCATCCCAGTTTCCAGATCTCTGTCAGAGACCAACCCACTATCACTGGCCCCTCCCTAACTGTGCAAAACGTGGGAGGTTTTGTAATAAACCACAACAGACAAAGGGGAGAGACGGGCTTAAAATAGAGTTACGCTGTCAATATTATCTCTGACGCAGGTGGAGTAATTAGTTTTAGAAATCACAAAAGTTTAATTATGTCAATATGACCCACATCTGCTTGCCCAAATTCCATCTAGTTTCAGATCGTAAAGAAAAGGCTTGATACTGAATACAGACTCTACGACTATGATAAAAAAATAAATAAAAAAAACACTCTTCTTTAGACAATAGAATTTAACTTTCAACATGTTAAATCATAGTACTTTCTTATTACCATGCAGTCTTATATCTGTGTGTCATGAGAGGTTCATTTCTGGCCTGTGAATGTGACTTTTTAGTATTGATACCTGCTCAAATGAGTATCTAGTTTTGATACTTTGATTAGTATCTGATTTTCGATACTTTTGACAGTCCTGCTTAACACAACACGTTATGGAAATGTATACTGATTTATATCTTTTACATGCTGTTGGTGAGCTTCGAATTGAATCTTGGCTCATACCTTTCAACTCGACTTTCGTTAGTTTCATAATTCTGTTCGCTTTATCTCTTACACATTCTAAGATTGTTCTTTATCTTTTGTCATGGTGAGTTCATGACGCAGTGGGATGTGCAGAATTACAAGAAAAGGTGCAGAAGGTTCAATAGATAATGCCTTAAGTAACTACAGAGCATAACAGGGGCGATGGTTGTGCAATGTATAGATGAATCATGACAGTATTGCCTAACGAGCCGTGCACATAACACATATTTTTTTACTGCTACATAAGCGATTTTTTAGGACTTGTAGCTGGCATATATATGAGAAGTGAAATCAGGTGTTGAATAGTGATGTGGTCATTGTCTAGACTTTTTTATTTATCGCTTCCTGTGTTTTCGGTTACAACAAAGCACGAGTATGTATCCCTTTATAGATGTTTCCTCATATTGTTGTGAAAGCCAATTGAGCCAACTGTATGCAGCAAATACTATGATGTCCTAGTATTGTTGTCATTACAAAAATACATACATACATAAAAAAAAAATCTGCTATTGTCATTTTTATTTTAAATGTAATTAATTTGTATTTAAGCAGAATATGTCTTGCCCCAGTACTGGAGATATTGTAAATAGAGCTCTTGAGGGCAAATTATGTCTACATCTGTTTTTTGAAAGTTGTGAAAAGCACTTACCAACTCATTGCGGTGAATGATTAGGATGCTCTGCCTGCACACAGCAAGTCTGAATTATTGTACTATTCTATTATTTGGTTGATTTCAGTCACAGGTTTATTCTGACATTATTCCACAGACAGTCATATTTAACATACACAAACCGAAAAGGTGTAGGCTAAAGCTTGAGCTTATTAGGTCTACTCTTTTTTTCCTTTATCAGAGCATCATTTTGAACCAGTTCATATTCATAAATACAGCAAGAGGAAACAAACAAATCAGTAACAGTACAACAAAGTACTAGCACAAACTAAGCATCATAATTCATGTATCTGCCCAGAGTTAAACATTTAAACTTCTTTATAAAATGGAAGAGAGTGGTGCACAGTTTTAGGTTTTCTGTACAGTTGTTCCAGAGCTCTACTCCTTTAACAAATGTACAAAATTTCATAATGTTTGTTCTGATTTTCTTTTTGATAAACGTGGCCGTACCTCTGAGCTCATATTGGCTCTTTCGGATTTGGAACATATTCTGTAATGATTTTGACAAGAGATGATTTTCAAAGTGTAAAGGTCACCTAAACTGTAAAATTTCAGAGTTTGAAGGTTTATAAATAATGCATTGGTTGATTCATTGTAAACTGATAATGTGATTGCTCTTATTGCCTTTTTTGCAAGATAACGACTGGATTTGTATTATGTATTGCCCCAAATCTCAATACAGCAGGTAATGTAGGGCATTACCAGCGAGTTGTATGTAGTAAAAAGAGTTTTTTTTAATCTAAGATAAATCAATATTTGTAATTATTTTGCATTAAGTGAACTATGGAAAAGTTTTTAAATCATATGATATAAAAATATTATGTGACAATAAACATGAATTTGTTTAAAACTAAAAATAAAAACTTGACAGAATAAATAGCGTATTGTGTAAATAAGAATTATGAAAGTAAATTTTGGCTGGCATTGAGTCACCTCATTCATTCACATATGTACACTGAGTGACAAATGTGCATAGTGCAGGATAAAAGAACTAAAACCCCATAAGATAAAATCACAAAAATACTGCTGTGCAGAGACATTAGTGGCATCTGCTTGCCCGTTCAAGAAGGGCATATTTTTTTCTAGGGGTGAGAAATCTCTTGCTGTCAGTAAATGGGACGGCCCACAGCGGGAAAATATCACAGTTTCAACAATACTTTATTGTTCACTACAATGTAAGCATTGAAGATTAACCAGATTATACACTCATTTCAATGCAATACCAGGAAGGCTGAACAAAACCACATCTTTCCTATTGCCAACTCATGAAAAGATTTAATCACTGTTTACGCACATGTAACTTCATTTCCCAGTCATTGCGATTTTTTTGTACCACTGTCCATCCTCTGGCTCCTTGTGTGCTCTGAGGATTGCTGCACGATTTATGAAAACAATGTAATTCATATTTTTTGGACACATGTTGAGATTAGAATTATAATTAAAGTTTTTATAATATGATTCTGTTCACATTCACGTCAATATAAACACAACTACTAACACAACTTGAGCTATTTTTTTATTTGAGGTCATTTCAATTAAATCTACAGTCCAAATGCCAAATAAAAGTTAAGATATGGTGACTGAAGGTTTCTAAAGAGTATTTACAAATTAACTGTATTGTTGATCAAAATCAGAAATTGTTTATTGTTTATTATTTAATAATAATGCAGCCGTTTTTGTCACAATGTTTTTAAGTAATGGTATCAGCCCTAATAGTAACGTTTTAAAGTTAAGGATTTCAATGATTGTGAATAATTATTAAAGGTCCTATATTACGCAAAATTGACGATTGTGTTTTGTTTCATTCACACATGTTTGAGTAACACTTTATTATTAGTCTGTCTACATCTCCACAGCTCAAAATGCTCTGTTCCAACTTGTGATGTCATGAAGCAGTAGTTTTCAAGTCAAGTTTAGTAGAAATGGTCAGTTCCAGTGCTGAAATCATCCAAATGATTCTAGTGAAGATGTGTGGAGTTTAAAAACACAGTGGATTACTTCCTTTACTGCCACAGATCATCACAAGGTGGAACACAATTATCTTAACACTGAAATTTGACTTACAAATGTTACTGTATATTTTAATATGCATGAAGGATAAGCTTC